GGGTAACAGGTAATGTGAGAAAGGACCACCACCAATTTATAAGATTCTAGTTTATATAATTATAATGCATATGATTGTAAAATTACTATATGTTATAGTATATAGGGGAAACCAAACTCATCATGTACTGACCATTCATATGATAGGGTTTAAAAGAGAAGCCTCCAGAGCAGCATCACTATAAAATGTCCTTTAATCTGAATTATTTATTTTGCTGTTGGAAAAAAGCTTCCAGCAAATATACTGCAGACCTGTGGAATAAAAGAAATAAATGTTCAGCTTTTTTATTTAGGCTTTATATTTGGTTTCTGTCTGACACTGTAAGGTCATGGTGATCTTTGAACACAAGATGAAGGTTTTCAATTTCCCTTTTATCTATGTTGTTTTCTTTTTGAAAAACTTTTTAAAAATGGCTGAAATTCTCCCGGTGCCAGCTCCCTCAGTCACCTCACTGCTATGCCGGTCATCACTGAATTCAATAGATAAGAGCAGAAAGCTATGATTGTTAGTTGAAAGGTTTCTGTGCAGCTGGTTAGAGGAATTTTTCGAAGCACTGTTTGTAGCGGATTAGAGTGATCCTGAAACATGAAAGGTACTGGAGATAAGAAAAAAAACCCCAAACCTCATTACCAGAGGCAGGCAGGAGCAAATTGCTGTGACAAAAATAAAAATAATTTCACATTAAAAGCCAGGATATTAAAAGCCAGACATGCTTGGTTTGCATTGCTTTTTAAGTCATTATTCTCCAACACCCTCAATGATGTTTTTCATTTAAACCTTAATCACACTTTTGGTGCACTCTGTGTACTTTCAGCGCTGTGGTATTTCATCTTTTTTAACTACCGCAGGATATGACAAAGCTGATGTACAGGTTCATCCTCCACTCTGCTGAAAATGTGGTTCATGGTGTTTTACAGTGTGTTTAAGCTTTCCATCATTCACTGTAACTCAGTTGAAGAAGGTTGTTTTTAGAAAATCAGGGTGAGGCTATCTGACTGAAATGAAATTTCATATTATATATGTAAAAGTTAAAAAAGTAACAGAAATGAAAAAGAACATGAGTGCTACCTACTCTGCTGGCAAGCTGGGACAAGAACCACACAACAATGATTCTGTAAATGCTGCCTAGCAAGTGAGCTGCTTCAGGAGAGGAAGCTACGCCCATACTGTATTTTCAGAGGTCAAAAGGAAAGTTCAAATGAAAAGTTTGGGAAAATGTATTTCTTGACGAGAATTAAATGAGAAGATGGATGTCACTCTCATGTCTTTATTCTGATATAAAGTTACAGCCAGCATGCAGTTAGCTTAGCTCTGCAAGTGTAAAAATGTTCATTTGTTGTTCTATTTCGTATAGGCTTCGCCCTCTAAGAGCTGTCGCTATTGGGTTTATCCCTCGCGCATGCGCAGTCCTGAAGAGATTCTTTCGCACCCTGTGCCCTGCACTGGGCTGTCCTCAATTACGTCCGCAGCAGTAATATAGCTGTCACTGCAGCCTTAGCTCTACTCCCTTTTTTTCTTCAGCAGTCTAAGAAGAAACATGGGTAAGTACATTCCCTTTTATCATGGCTAAGAACCATTCCTCAAAAAGAGACTGCCAGACTCCAGTGCCACGCCACTGTCACCGTGTGCCCAGGCTGCAATTCGGGCTTCATATGTTAACATGTCGAGCCAACTCTCCCCTCGGGCCGCTTGCCCCCTCGGGCTTGCTTGCTCGCAGCGGAGACGCGCCGGGCGGAGGCGCTAGCAGCTATCAGGGCAGGCCCTGTCAATGTCGGTGGCTAGGCTTAGCCACTTAGTGGATGCCTTCGCTCACCACCCCTGGCCGAGGGGTCTCCTCTACGTGTTCCCTCTGACCCCACTCATCCCGTGGCTCGTCTCAAGCGTGCAGGATGAGCGGCTGCACGTCCTCCTGATAGCTCCGGAGCGCACGAGCGCAGCTTGGTTCCTGACCATGGTTCAGCTGCTGGCGGGGGATCCCTGACAGCTCCCCTGGCAGGGAGACGCACTCTCCCAGCTGGACGGCGCGATCCAGCAGTTCTCCGTGATCGGCCAGCGGCTGTGGG